TCATGCACTCTTATGCGAGATGAAGGTCTCTATAACAATGGAGATAAGGTTGAAAGTTTTAGTAGTTTAAGGGTAGATATAAGAATATGGGATAGGGGAATGTACCAAGAAAACAACCCAATGATAGAAATTATCCTGATTAATATGGCAGAGGACTCGGATAAGGTGCATTCTCCAGGGTCTCTCTCATTAGAATTCATTTGACCTCGTCTTCGCAAGATAATTGCGTTTCCAGGGCGCCCTTAACGAACAAAGCCCGTATTGCGTGCCACCGAGTTACAATTCTTCAAAGCAGCGCAAGTCAATCCTCCTAATCTACTTTCGGCCACAACAGTTGAGATAAGAATTCTCAGACTCCTTTGGCCAGACACATTTCCGGTCACCCAGGGCTCTTTGGACGACTGAGATGATTAGGCTGCAAAAACAAGATTAAACCTGCTGTATACAGCGAAATAAGGCTGTGGATGATTTGAAGGCTACATCATCTTGGCCTTAATAGCTAACCAGGTAGCTCACCGCCTATAAAACCGTTTTGTCTAGGGATATCGACAATTACTTTTAATTCCTATCACCTGGATCGGAATAAAATCAGGATTGCTGAAGACGCAATTGCAAGCTTTAAAAGTAATCATTGGGAAGGGTTATGTAGTGAATTCCAGCGCAAAGTCAACTCTGGTGAAAACCAGTCGTGGGTGGACAAATGGCATTAAGGCTCTATCAGAAATAGTGATCAATGTTAGCAAGCCTCTTCATACTGTACCACACCGTTGTGGCCAATTTTACATGTAAACTGATGCATGGGGATGAGGGCTGGTTTTAAAAGCAGTCTGACTGGTTAAGAGGTTCCTTCACTCACCTTATGCAGGATGGAATCTCGCCTGTAAACTTCTTCTCGACTTCTTCTTTTCAACCCTCAGATATATATATATATATATATCACTTCTGAATTAATGCCTTGGGAAAGGTAGCTTCGAATAGGACCCGTAAAAAAGGACTCACATGCATGAGCTACTCTCGAGTTCATGATGAAATTGGACTTTGGCACAAATTTAATGATCCTTCTCCTGTTGACAAGGTCCAGAAGCCTCCAGAGACGCCATTTTAACGGCTTGTTGGGCTGTACGATAATCGGAGGATC